CACATTGTGAAAACGGAGTGTATTACGTCTACCATATTGTTCCAACTGCTCTATTTTGTCATCAAGTAAGCTAGCTTTATTATCAAGGGAAACACTCAACCTACCCAGTTCCGCCTCAAGTGTGACACATTTTTCGCTAAGGAAATCATTTGAAGATTTCAGATGGGTGATAACAGTCTCCTGTTCTTGAATTGTCTCTCGGAGTGGTTGGAGAAGGTCGGACATAGTAGTCTGGATAATGACCTTGATCATGTCCGACATACAGGGTACGAATGCCTCAGCCCACACAGGCGCTATTGATTTTGCAAGATCAGGATTCGCTAGTGATGATCTGATAATCGTGTTCATATCAATGACTTTACCTTTCCCAATGTCAATTCGATGGGACGAGCCCGATAATGGTGTCGGGTTAGGCAGTGAGTTCACACGGACGTGACCTCTGCTGTGCCGGGGGTGATCAGGGGCATCAGGAGAGCCTTCAAATTTCCTTTTATTTGCGTTTTCAGAATCTGATTCAGACATATTCGTAAGATTTGATAAGGAGTATTCAAAAGTCAAACAAGCAATTCCGTGTAGACGACCTTTTCTAGAGTCCGTGCAAAAATGGCGGTCAGCGAGATTTAGTGAGTCGTAACATTAAATGTATGTATCATCTATTATCACAGTATATACGGGGGTAACAGTGTAAAGTATAATTCGATATGGATCTCAAAGATGTGTATTGCTCATAATAAGTAGTTACCCACCGTTATATTTACATTCACATGGATACACAAACAAATTTAGGCCCTCCGAGCTACGGGTCGTCCATTCAGGTCGCCATCTTGATTCCTACCAAGTCCATCTCGCTTTTAACCTAAAATAAGCTTTGCATTTTACCTAAAATCGGTTATTTACATAAACTGCATATGGGGTGTCCCGCAGCTCTTTGTCGAAAAAAGAATGACAGGTGGCATGCCGATGATCCAATACATTTTCAAGAATATACCAATACGTTTTGGTAAAAGGCAATTACTGCATTTACAGATTGAAATACCTGACTCGAACACTTCTAGTCACTGACAAAGCGATTACTGTATAACCACCTAAACTTAGTGGGGATATGGTAAGAAACATACACAACTAATGTCTCCACATTTGTCCGGAGGTACCCGGTGTTAGTAGGCAAAGCGTTGACACAACTGACTTGCCCTATATATATTTGAAAGCCTTCAGGTATACCGCGTTTTACATAAGCTGTGCATTGCTGGTTTACTTTCAATATTACTGATAACTAACATACGGGTACCGTACATGTAAATGTTTAAAGGTAACTCATACGATTGGTTGAATTTCGGAGTGGCGTCAAGAACTTAGCAGAAGGTACACAGAACTAAAATCCCGGACATAACAATTATTGAGGCCTTACATACTTTTGTGACCACCAACACTACAGTGATATAATCCAGGTAAGTTCATTGCAATCAATTATACTCTATTTTTGTCACTAATGTTGAAGAATTTTTTTTATTTTAACTCGCTTACTTGGGTGTGTATGTAATGACATAACATACGTCATCGTATAGCACACCCAGATCTCTGTGCACAAGGACACGTATTCCCCATTCTCTTCATATGATCCTGCTGATGTCAATAATTTAACCCAATAAATAATATGATTATTGTTCATGGACTTCAATTTCCATACCACAAAGTTAACATCTACCGTTCACACGAAATCACCTATACGTGACACAAACGTCACACATCTTCATAAAATACACTTTAACAAGAGAGAGAGAGAGAGGGGGGGGGGGGGGGGGGGGGTTCTAAAAGAAAAAGGAAGGGTTTCTAAAATCGTCCAGATTCCGGAAAAGATGGATTAAGAAAAACAAGAAAATATCTGTCAGACAGTCACATGAATGCCCCGCCGCCAGGTGAAATAGGGTTCAGTATACTATAATGTTCTATAAATACAGTTGTAGTTACAAATACCTTGATTTTGACACCTCGAAGTATGTACTCATTCAAGGTATTATCATACATCAAATTGGTAAATGGAGAAATAGAGAGATTTTGTTAAAGAATAGCAACATGCAGTGACATTTAAAACATACACTCATCTGAGGTATATCCCAGTGAAATCTCTGTATATCCTTGAAAGCATAAAACAAAAAGTTGTCAGAGGTATTCCAGTTCCTGGTCTTTGTATTGAGTTTAATCAAAATCCGTCAACGAATAAAATTGCTAAAATATTTATATTGAATCGCGATGAGACGGAACAAGACAGTCATGAGCAACACTGTTTGCCATTCCCCTCTTTTGTTTATGGGGCATGCAAATATTCTTCATCTAATATGAAATTGGGATATACATTGTAAGTCACATAATTTGCTGTTCGTATGCAATAATGTACACTGTGTATATATCTGTAATTTCTCATAACAATAATCAAGATTATGTACAATTTTACAATGCGCATTACGCAGTATTACAGTGACCGTTAGGCTGTCAAGAATGGGTTTGGCACCAAGGTAACAGAACAGGTAAATAACAATTTGATGTGTAACCTGAGTTTTACCTGGCCTGTGCCTGACGCATACAGCTGAGCGTTCAGGTATACCGCGGTTTACATAAGCTGTGCATTGCTGTTCTATTTTTAATATGATTGATAACTAACATACGGGTACCGTACATGTTAATGTTTAAAGGTAACTCATACGATTGGTTGAGCTTCGGAGTGGCGTCAATAACTTAGCAGAAGGTACACAGAACTAAAATCCCGGACATAACAATTATTGAGGCCTTACATACTTTTGTGACCACCAACACTACAGTGATATAATCAAGGTAAGTTCATTTCAATCAATTATACTCTATTTTTTTCACTAATGTTGAAGAAAAATATATATTTTAACTCGCTTACTTAGGTGTGTATGTAATGACATAATATACGTCATTGTATAGCACACCCATATCTCTGTGCACAAGGACACGCATTCCCCATTCTCGTCCTATGATCCTGCTGATGTCAGTAATTTAACCTAATAAATAATATGATTATTGTTCATGGACTTCAATTTCCATACCACAAAGCTAACATCTACCGTTTACACGAAATCACCTTTACGTGACACAAACGTCACACATCTTCATAAAAATACACTTAACGAGAGAGAGAGAGAGGGAGGGGCGTTTCCAAACGTCCAGATTCCGGAAAGTATTCAAATACACTTTCAAATATTCGTTTGTTTTAGACATCTGACAAATTATCAGAACCGTTTTACAAAAAGTCGTTTGGACATCAGACGAATTCCCAGTGTTGGGTCGACATTTGGATGTTTAGTGTGTGGGCTGCTGGGGG